ATATTCCTGAATATCAAGATCACTATTACTAATATCAGTCATCAGAATCGGAAAAATTATTATTCTGTATATTAGTTGTCTTATAAAACGATTGAACGGCGACCCTAAGGTGTGATCCACAAAGTACATACGCACGCCTAGGGGGCATCATGCCAAAGCATATGTCCCCATGGTAAACTCCTATGTACGCTGGGCTTGTAGGGGGAGGGGGTCAAATTTTTTCCCAAAATTTTGCGTACGTACTTTGTGAATGACGCCAAAGTGAAATTTATTGAAATTTATTTTCAGTTAAAATGAAATATTTCACTACAGCCAACCTTAACCTTAATACATACTGCAATAACATAACCTGATAATTAAACACACTGAAAATTTTATTTCGCATTTTTGTGTGTTTGTACAAGTTGAAATTATCTGTTAAGTTTAACTTATGTTTTAATTATCTTTGTCTTATGTTAAAAGCGATTAAAATGTTTACAAGTTTTTGAATAAACTTTCACTTAATTATATAGCATTTCATTAAACTACATTTTATATACTTTCCAAATTATACTATTTTTATAATCAGATTTTAAAATTATATATGCCATTCCCTTAATAAAACATACTATTCTTTTTTACATTGGTTTATAATGACACTGATTAACATTACTTGCATTATTGCAGTTTGTTATTTCGTGACTGGATGTTGTTATAATGACTATCATTTACAAAATTAACAAGGACTTGCTGTGTAGAATAATTTTAAAAATAATTTTAAGGACAAATTGTTTTAATATTACTGTATATATGGATGTATGATATTCAATAACCAGTTGACATGCCTAGACAATTCATACAGCTATATTACAAATAAATAGCATGACATTTCAATTTGTTAGGTATTTAATGAGCAGTAATTATTGTATCATACATTAACTAACGTAGATACAATTTCTTAAATATTNAGTTGACATGCCTAGACAATTCATACAGCTATATTACAAATAAATAGCATGACATTTCAATTTGTTAGGTATTTAATGAGCAGTAATTATTGTATCATACATTAACTAACGTAGATACAATTTCTTAAATATTACACGGTTCATGAGGCATTCGTAATATGGACAAACATTTCCGTGTGGTACGTGGATTAATTTGTTTTAAACCACCCGGGGTTGAAAAACATTCCGTTGAATACGAACTGGACTACCAGCCCTTGCCCTGGGACCGTATCATGAGCTCCTACCCTAAATCCGGTAACTTTTGGACTATTAATATTGTCCTGTCAATCATGGGAGACATTCATGTCGGCCAATATATACCGAAGGATAGGTATAGTAAATTATTTCTTGGATTCCGTCTCCCCAATGAACTGGTGGACGACATACCGGTGGACAGGGATGGAGAGAACTGTCGGTTCCACGCGACACACCTTAGCATGACATACCTGGCCTATAATCCCGGTGCCAAGTATTTGTTGCTCATGCGTAATCCGAAAGACGTTTGCGTTTCTTACTATCATTTTTTGAAACAAAAACTTCAATTGGATCTCGATTTTCATGAGTATTTTAAGCTCTGGATCACCGGAAAGGACTTACCGAACGGCGACTACTTTACGGCGATTAAGTCTAGTTGGGAGCACCGGGAGGACAGCAACTGTACTCTCATTACCTATGAGGAGATGTCAGCAAATCCGAGGGACAGTATTGTGAAGATCGCCTCATTCTTGGGCATCAAATATGTGCGCAGACTGTATGGCCGGTGCGATGATAGCGGGCACGGCACCGGTAGTAACAGTGATGACATCCTATTGGATCGCATTATACGAGAGACCAGATTTAAGGCCATGAAAAGTAATCACGAGCTTAAGATGCACTTCCGGAAAGGTATTGTCGGCGACTGGAGGGCTGTTATGACGAGAGATGAGAGCGATTTGATTGATAAGAGGGTTAGGGATGAGTGGATGGGAACGGGTTTAGAGACACTGTGGGAACGGGAGATGAAGTGGTGATTGAAACTAAAAAAATGACTCTCATGTTTAATAACTACAGTATAACCAAGATTAAAAACTGTAACTTTTAGTATAGTGCTAACAATTTGTTATATTGCTAACAGAAAATAAATAATTTAGTCAATAATTTCCGAATTTTTATTAAATTAACCTTCTTATAGGTATTTTAATGAATGTATCATGGTC